CCTCATACCTTGAATTTTTCATATAATAAGGTTGGTTCCGAATTACAGGGTTGTATGTAAATCAGATGTTCGTAATTCGGGAAACTGCCTGTATGTAAAACTGTTTGTTGTAAACCTGAGCCAGTCCCTCATTCTCTCCCGCTCTGGACTTCCCCATGTTTCAGTTCCTAGCGCTGTTGTAACAGAGATACCACAAGGGGGTGGTTTTAATGAACACACATTTACTTTCTCACAGTTTGGGAAACTAGACGTCTGAACACAGGGTACCAACTCTAGGGGAAGGTTTTCTCGCTTTGTGGATTCTGGGGGACAGTCCTTGTCTCAGCTTCTCCAGCACTCTTCTTAGTGATCTCTATCTTCATCTTGTTTTTTTTATATCTCAGAAGTAAGTAATTAATTAGAGTTAGAACCCACCCTACATTGCTATGGCTTCATTAATGTAACAAAGAGAATCCTCATTCCAGACAGGAATCAGGGTTAAGACTTTAACACATATTTTTGGGAACACAAGTCAATCCGTAACATCACCCAAAAAAGAATTCATATTAATTAAATGACCCACACAGAACAACCTTCCCCACCTCCTGCTAATGCTTGTTTGTTTGTTTTTAAAGCAGAATTTTGTTAAATAACATTCTATTGTTGTCAGGAGGGACCACTCTCTGGAGAGTCAGAGAAAAAGAGGAAGACCCCCAGCGAGATGGATTGGCAAAGTAGCAGCATCAATGGGCTCAAGCGTGGCAACAATTGTGAGATTGGCCCAGGACTGGGCAGTGTTTCGTTCTGTTGTGCATAAGGTCGCTATGAGTTGGTACTGATCTGATGGCACCTAACAACAACAACAACAACAACAATTGTGTTTTAAATGAGGGTTTGCACAGCAGTTTAGGTTCACATTCAGTGATTTTGATACAAGTTGTTCAGTGGCAATCGTTGTACTCTTCACAATGGGTGAAGATTCTCATTATTTCCATTCTGGTAGTTCTGTTTTCATTCATCTAGTCTCCTTGCTCCCTTATCTTCTCATCTTTGTTTTAAAGTCACTGCTGACTGTTTGGTCTCATTTTTTACTTTTTAAGGAACATAGTGCTTATGGGTGATAGTCATTGTTTTGAGCCAATCTGTTCTTTAGTTACAGGGTGACCTCAGGGATTCATTTTAGTTCATGGTTTGAATTGTATCTCAGAGAAAGTCTCAGGGAATCTTCTAGAAAGACTGTCTTTTGTTGGTGGTGTGTTGTTGTGTTGGTTTCTTTCTTTCTTTTAAGAATTTGAAGTCCTGTTCCACGTCTTTCTCCCATTCTATCGGAGTCTGTCTATTGTAGTCCTGATTCCAATGATTAGTAGTGGTCCCCTAGCTCCATTTAGTTCTCTGATCTCGGGTTAGGTGTGGCTGTGGTATAAAGAAATGGGCTATTTCTTCTTCGAGTCTTTGGTTTCCTCCCTTCTCTTTTGCTCTGGACAAGTAGAGACCAATGTGGTTGTTGTTACATGCCATCAGGTCAGTAACAACTCTTAGCAACCCTTTGCACAACAGAATGAAACACTGCTCCTTTCTGGGTTATCCTCACTCACATGTATTGTTACACCTGAGCCCCTTTCTGCTGCTACTGTGCCAGTCCATCTCGTTGGGGGTCTTCCTCTTCTCCACCATCCACTTTACCAAACATGTTCTTCTCCAAGGACTGGTCCCTCCTGACAATGTGTCTGAGGCATAAGAGACAAAAAGTCTGGTCATACTGGCTTCCAAGGAGCATTGTGGCTGTACTTCTCCCAGTACAATGTGTGCTTTTGGCAGTCCATCGTATTTTTAATATTCTCCTCCAACACCATAACTCAAATGCATCAGTTCTTCTACGGTTTTCCTTATTCGCTGTCCAACTTTCACATGTGTATGAGGCTATTGAAAATACCATGGCTTGGGTCAGACGCACCTTAGTTCTCATACTGACCTCTTTGCACTTCAACACTTTAAAGAGGTCTTGTGCAGCAGATTTGCCCAATGCAATTTGTCATTTGATTTCATGACTGCTGCTTCCATGAATGTTGATGGTTGATCTGAACAAAATGAAGTCTTTGACAATTTGTATCTTTTCTTCATGTTGTTTATTGGTCTAGTGGTGAGGATTTTAGTTTTCTTTACATTGAAATGCAACCCATACCAAATGCAGTGGTCTTTGATTATCATCACTAAGTATTTTACATCCTCTTCACTTTCAGCATATCGCAGGTTGTTAATGAGTCTTCCTCCAATCCTGATGCCATGTTTTTCTTCATATAATCCAGCTTCTCAGATTATTTGCTCAGCATACAGATT